AATTTAATTAAACAATAAATATATATTAATTTTAATATGAGCTGAATTCGAGATATTTTTTTTTATTTTTTCAGGTTCAATTACCAACGTGATTCTCGTCGATGATTAGGAAAACAAAAATCAAAAAATGGCGCCTAAAAAAATTGGCGCCTAAAATTTTGGAGATCATTTAAACCTGGAGGGAAGATTTTTGTGTAGTTCAAACGTGGTTTTTGTCGGTGATTTACTAACATGGCTCAAACTGCGAAGCAGTTTTCCTGGATTGTCAGACGTGATATTCGTCGGTGATAGGCGCTGGGCACGAGGCTGCTGTGTGTATGCAGACGTTATGCTTGTCGGTGATTTACCGACGTGGGAACCAGAGATGTTTTCCGGTGAAGTGTTCCGACTCCCTCTTTCCAAGATGTTCTTTGTCGGTAATTATGGGTACGTTTACCGACGTGATTTCCATCTACGTCGGTGTTTGAATCACCGAGCTCGGCTTCACCGAGCAACCCAACACCAACGTGATTCAAGTGGGTATAGGACTTCACCGACCAGATTCCCTCTTGTTTCCGACATGGCTACTCGTCGGTGATACAATGAATTCTTGTAGTGCATCTTCTACCTCTGTTCTTCTTTCCTCTCCCCTCTCTTCCTCCCTCTTTCTCTTTCCTCTCTCTCAACAAAGATCCCGTGAGAACCCAAAATCTAGGTTCTATAGGGTAGCCAGGTTGGGTTCTCTTCAGAATACCAACTGCATTTATATTAGATGTAATAACATGTTTCATCTTTTATAGGATAATAAGACAATACATAATTCTTTTTTGTATTTTTTTGGTAAGTACAACATGAATATGCTTTTTATTATGTTCAGTGGACCATTCAACAAAAATATGATTTTTTTGGGTATGCCCAAGTTATCATGGTTCAAGAGGAAGATGTTCAAATGTCTCCATTCCCGCATAAAAGCCCAAAAAAATTTATAGTCGCAACTTGTTTTCTCCCCAGCTTATTAAGTGCGGTTCAATTACCTAGCGACCTTCTAGTTTTTCATGATGTTAGAGGGAATGAGTCCTTAAAAGTTGACATTTTAATAGTCAAATGCAATTCATTGAGCAATCCAACATAAAAAGTAGAACTAGTAATCAGAATATCAAATATCCTCTAAGTACTGATGAGAACATCAAATATCCTCCAACTACTTATCAGAATATCAAATATCCAACTACTGATCAGAATATCACATATCCAACTACTGATCAGAATATCACATCCTACAAAGCACTAACTCAGCAAAATAAACAAGCCTCCCAACAAAGTCGTCTGGCAGACAGCATCAAATATGTCTTTCCCAAACCTCAGTTAACCTGCACAAAACACAATCAAATGTTAAATTTTTTTTAGACAAGTAATCATGATAGCATTTTTATAGTCCATGATGTCATACCCCTGTCCTTCACTGACTAGAATCATCGTTTTAGTCCTTTACTGTGACTTTGAGACAGACTTATTTGAGAGAATCTAATAGTTGGGGTTGCATGTCCAACTTTTAGTGGTTTTCTTAGTGGAGTACACTAGTTTTCTTTGATGACAAGGCCTAGAGGCTGTATTTTTTTATGTATTTTATAAAATAATAATTTGGATGATAAATAATTTGTAATTAAAAATATTTAAGTTATAAAATTCATTATATTGTTAAATTATTAAATTATATCAAAAGTTTCTAAAATTGAATTGGGCTTTACATTAAGTAAAAGGCAATAAAAAAAAATGAAACATAATCTTTGGAGTTTCCCAAAGAACAAAAAAGAATGTTCAACAATGTTTAAAAAAATGAAATATATATTTAGTGTTGGAAAAAAATGGTTTAGGTTTTTTATTTTTATTTTTTTTCTATTTAAGGGTTTTGGTTGCTTTGTAAAATTTTAATTAGGAATTTTTTATTATGAATTTAATAGAATTGACCAATGGTAAAATTAAATTTAATAATTTTGAAAAGATTTGAGACTAATTTTAATCTAAATAGATAAAAGATTGAGACAATATATAATATTAATTTATAATAAAAATTAGAGACTAAATTTTGTATTTATTCTTCTCTTTCAATTAACATTTTATATATTTTTAAAATAATAAAAAGCTATATAGATATAAGTATAAGGTAAATAAATATAAATATAAATCAACAACAATTACAAGAAGTTTGATTCTAGAGATTTTTAAAAATTAGAATTTTCTTTATGACAATTAACATTTTATATATTTTTAAAATAATAAAAGCTAAATAAATATAAGTATAAGCTATATAAATATAAATATAAATTAGCAAAGATTACAAGAAGTTTGATTCTAGAGATTTTTAACAACTAGAATTCTATTTATAACAATTAAATGACACATGGTAGAAATCCATTTTGCAAGGAAGGATACAAAGTTGTTGAGATTTCTTTGATTTGAGTAAGCACAATAATAGGGGAGTTAGATAAAATCAGGATTAGATCTAATTTTTGGCAATCAGTTTCAGTTATGAAGGCCCATAAACATAACACTTCAACATATTTTTCAAGAAGCCTACTCTTCTCAACCACATCTACATTTCAACATGTTTTAGCACAATGTTAATTTAGTTTATAAATAGCTCATACAACAACTTTGCAACTTTCTTGTTAACGTAGGAAATGTTCAACTCCTCAATAGGTTCTTTGTTTTTGTTCTTTTTTGGTTAAATTAGCTCAAGCATTTAAATTTAATATAGTTGCTC